TATGTATGTACCGGTGCTGATATATAATAAACATGTGTCTCGACTGGGTGGAATCAGACTCTCGTCAATTTTTGGACGTGTAGAGCTATAATTGATTTCACCCTAAAGCCTGTTCATTTGTCTAGATTTTGCTTTAAAAAAAATTTAAATATCCATCTCTAATACAAGTCGTGATATTTGCAAATGAAGGAGGTGGGTGTCATTTGGTTTCTGAGGAAAAACTGGTTAGAAAATGGTTGCCAAATATTAGTTATTTCCTTAGTTTGAGAGTCCGTGGAAACTGAAAATGTACATTTTTTTCCGTTAAACTCCTTTTTTTAAAGTAAAATCCACACAGAAATGTGTTCTTTAATGGGTTTGAAAGAAGACGAGTCAAAAATAAATTCAATAAAAATACACGAACCTGCAGGAAAATGCCAGTTTCTTCACTTTGATTATTTTGACTATCGCCGGGTTTTGTCAAGTTGCATAACACAATGTTTTAAAGTAACGACTGCTTTATATTACAGGTATCTTCCCAATATCTTATTACCAAAAATTACATGAGTTCTGCATTTGAAACCTTAACTAAAACAACAAGCGCTAGTTTAGAGATTCCTGCGTGCAGATAGCCACTTCATAATGGATGTCCAACGTATCATTTTTCTTTTCCGGCTTCATCGACGTAAGTCCTGCTCAAAGTTGTAATTCATGACGACACCTGGAAGGATGTTAATGAATAAAAACTAGCGGTGAAACCTGTTTCCCAGTATTACCAGGATATAGTGCATGCACATGTTTCCACCTCCGCCCACTCCACCTGATACCGACGCAAGATAAAAGCGTCTTTCGAGAATGACGTCACCCAATCGTGGACCCACTGAAAGCCCGGAAATGCGTGGTAATTCAATGAAGTTACGAATGGAGCTTTTTGTGAGTACTGTTACCTCCCTCCGTTGTTGGTGCTGTTGTTGTCATTATTGATGTTGTTGTTGTTGTTTCTGTTGTTGTTGTTGTTGTTGTTGTTGTTGTCATTTCTCCTTTTTTTCTTTCTCTAATTTCGTATCAGAATCATGCAATTGGTGCAGACTTCAATGCGACTTCCACATATTATATTGTTCCTGGGTTTTTTTCGACAGTTTTCTCAAAGTTTTGTACTTTAGCCACCGCGAGAATGACGCAACCTAGACAAAAAAAAAAGCAAATCGGTGGTTAAAAATTAAATTCGTCCAAGAATAAGCTGTGTGGGTGCTAAAGCGATTTAGAAATTAACAAAAGATTTATGTTGGTTTTGGGGGTTTTTTTGTATTTTTTTCTCTTGCCCAATCCTATCAAAATGACGCAACATGATTAGTATAACTGTGTGCACGTGGTGTGTTAGCTAAGTCTACAAAACGTCTGATAAAATTACGTTTGAATAGTGTATTGTTATTTTCTTTAGTTACCATTAATTATCCCCTAGAGACTAACTGAAATGTTACAGTAGGCCCAGGATAAACTTTAAGATAATCCTCTGAATTAAGAACGCAACAATTGTTATATACACTACCAGCTACGCAAATTTTAAGAGCAGTTGCATGCGCATTAATGTTGTTATGATGCTGATGACAGAGTAATAATAGGTTAATGATGTTACGTCGTTGGTGTGAATAACGAACATATTTCTTGGTTTAATATAAAATTTTGTTTCAAAACAACATCGCTTGAACTGATTAAAATAAAAAATAAAAATAGTTTTTTAGAATAGTCAGTTTTGGCGTTAATAATTGCCTCTATCTTCTTCTGCTCCTTTGAGTTACTAGAAGCAAACGACTGATAATCTATGATGTTTCTGAAAAAATAAAATATGAAACAAAATGAAACATTTGAAAATGTTAGTAAATCAAAATTCGAAGAATAAGATAGATAGATAGATAGATAGATAGATAGATAGATAGATAGATAGATAGATAGACAGATAGATAGATAGACAGATAGATAGATTGATGGATAATTTATTTGTTTTTTGATCAAACTTGTACTAAAGATAGCACAGCGCCCGAGTGCCAGTGACAGTATTACTATGTATGGAAAACACAAACGTTATTAAACGCTAAATTGAAATTGTCTAGTTTGAAGAAACCTTTCGTCGCAGAACAATACCAGCAAAGGGTTGGGCTCAAAACCAACAAACGGTTCGCGGTGAAACTGGTATATTTGGATGCTTCGCTCATGCATTCAACCAATACAATGCCAGAAATTACTGGATAATGTATGCCGGTGGAAAACATGATTATCAAAGAAATCTGCTATTTCAAATCTTTTGCAAAAATGTTAAAACGGTCCATGGTCATGATAATAATAATAACAATAGGATAATAAAAACAATAATGATAATAATAAAGATAATAATAATATAATAAAAGAAGAAGAAGAAGAAGGAGAAGGAGGAGAAGAAGAAGAAGAAGAAGAAGAAGAAGAAGAAGAAGAAGAAGAAGAAGAAGAAGAAGAAGAAGAAGAAGAAGAAGAAGAAGAAGAAGAA